GGAGGAGGGGAGTGTAATGCGACGGGAGCACATCACTGCTCCAGTTTCCCAGTTCGGCTTAAAAATAATTATGTTCTTTAACACGCATCAATCTTCTTTGTGGCAAGATATACAAATGCCGCATTTATGTTAGCAAAACGGTTGTCCTCAGGAAAATATATATGATAGATGAGCTAACACTGGCCTTTAAGGCTTGGATTTTGTAAATGCAGCTGCAGAGATAAAATAAAAACATTGGCAAGTACTTGCAGTGTATTTCATTTATCTGTGCTGTCAGTTTCTAACTAAGCAAGACCAGTTAACTGTTACTACCTTCATTAACCAGAAAAAAAGTCTTTTGTGCCATGATCTAAGGCCCCCAGTAACTATCAGTGTTATTCACAAAAGGGTGCAGAGTTTGGAGAAGGCAGGAGAAGTGAACAATCTAGGACAACATGGCTGAACTGGAAAAATTCTCCCATTCAGCTCACTTTCCAGTTCAGCCATGTTGTCCTAGATTGTTCACTTCTCCTGCCTTCTCCAAACTCTGCACCCTTTTGTGAATAACCCTGTAGGTAAACTCAGGATCAGAGAGGCAGGCTTTTCCAGCTACTAAATGTATGAGCAGGCACCTCCGCTGGAGTTTGTCAGAAATGTTAAATATCAGACATGTTCAATTCAAGTTGAAAGGGTAGTCAAGTAAGAAGGTAATTTTTTTTGTTCCACTTCTAATCCCAATACTGTCAAGTACTACAAATGAAAAGCACCAGTTAGTTAGCCCATCAATGGAACTTAACAAAAAAAAAGTAATGAATTTATTTTTCAGTAGGGCTAGTGTAATCATTTGATATACAGGTGAAACTCGAATAATTAGAATATCGTGCAAAAGTTCATTTATTTCACTAATGCAACTTAAAGGAGAACTATGAGGGGAGTGCTTTTCACTCACCTCATAGTTCTAGCCGACCTCTGACAATGAGACTGTCACAGGTATTACCTACAATCAGCTTAAGGTTGAAATCAAGCTTGCAATAGGAATGCCTGCTTTGTGAATGGCATGTGGGGTATATCACATTACACATATTTGGGAAGGTTAAACGGTTACTATGCATGTATTACAACAGCTTACATATCTGTTTGGGAGCAGGTTTCTTTTACATCAAATATTACAAAGAAAACATTTAAAAGTAAGCCTGTAGCAGGATCATAAATGATAAACGGACACTGTAGTTAGTTATAGCAGGCACTATGAAGTGCCATATTATACTTGTTTTGCCACATGCCAGCTCTTCAGATAGCAGCTGTAGTTACTTTATGCAAATGCTAACATTTTGTAAGTCGTTATTACCATAGCCCTAGGCACAACCTCATCCCCCATGGGCGATTGGTCAGTACTACTTTTAGGGAGCTGGAAGGAGGTGTGCCCGTTCACCCAAAACTTTTCGACCAGCAGCAAGCGGCAAACTGGATTTATAACAGATGTATACTGTGGCAATTTATGGGGGCTGCTTAGCTAACTAAGCATACAAGTAAGCTACAAGTTTATTTAAATGCATACAAGCTACACAATTTGAAGCAATGGTTCAAAGCAAATAGTAAATCTAAAAAAAAAAGAGACATGACACATGTGCAATACTTTTAAAAAGCTAAATGAACAGTTGTGTCAATTTAATCATCTTGGTGAAATACATCCCTGAGAGGCTGATGGGTTTTGGCTATTATTATGTCTGTCTGCAGACTGACAGTCTCAAATCTCTCATCCTTTAGCAATAACTTTATCATTTACAGGGAGGGTTGAGCTGTTTCTGTCCAAAATCACAGCCAAGCAAAGCCATCTGTACTGAATGTAAACGTGCATTAAAGGTTGAACTCCGGGCACAAAAACTTTAATTTGCATACAGTATATTCCTCAATAACCACAAAAGGATATAAAGCCACTTTGTGGGCTCCAAATGCCTTTACAAATTCAGTAATTACCTTGTAAAAGAAGTGGTGACAATATCACTGGAGTTCACACAGCCTGCAGTGAGCAGAAGTGTGGGAGGGACCCAGCAGGACCACCCACTGTTGGCTGCCTGCTGAAAACAACAGGGGGCTGATGGTGGGTAGGGGATAAAAGACCAGTCACTCTGCACAAGGAGAGAGAACAGTAGTGACTGGTCATTATCACATGAACCGCCTGCACAAAGGCAAAGTATTACCCTGGATTACAGCACAGATCTGGAAGAAATACACAAAGTAAGAATCCACATGCCTCTTGTATTTAGACAACATATGCTTATCCCCAGGTTCCGCTTTAGCCCTCATTCACACTGTAATCGGCCCGCACGCACAGCTCAGTACCAAACAGCTCCCGGGAAGGACAGGTGCTGCGTGTGATTAGTATGCAGCCCCCGTGCTTCTCTATGGGAGTACACCTCCCCCCCAACGCTCACCAGCCCTGCACCTCCCTGCGGGTGAGCGCACTCGTACGCGGACAGGCTGGATCCTGTCCGTGTCCGAGCAAGGAAACACGCAACCCCACGGACCTGCACTTGAGGTGAGCGTTCCGCCGCTTAGTCCCATAGAGAAGGACGGGGGCTGCGTACTAATCACACGCAGCACCTAACCTTTCCGGGAGCTGCTTGGTACGGCCCTGCACGCAGCACGGAGCTGTACATGCGGGCCGATTTACAGTGTGAATGAGGGCTTAAAGTTAGTGACCCTCATTCAAAAGGGTCCTAGTAGCTGCTGTGTTTGGGAACGGCTTTTCTGGTGGTACTAAAAACAATCCAATAAGCAGTATTTTGCCTGTGTTTTCATCAGGAGCAATGGGTGGCATATGTGTTTTGTGGTTACAGTGCAATAAATAATGCCTAAATATAAATAGGCACTGATCTATATAAAAGATTTATTGGCATGCTATAGATTAAGTCCAACTGAAACACACAAAGAAGACAACCTATATAGGCATTCATGCTTATTTTCAGAACATATTGGGTAATCATATTATTTCCGCAGCGTAGACACAATTCCTATGCAGTTGTGTATCAACTGTAATAGTACACATGTAGCATTACCTTTAAGGAAAAGCTACTAGGCATGCAGGTTTTCAGTCCACGTTCGAACTACATGATTACCATCATGAAAACTATGATAACCCAAATGAGTCATAAACAGTGGTTTCATCTGAAAATGATACATCTGTAATATAATTTTATCTACATGACACACATACCTTGTAACACATATTGCACAAGAAAAAGGTAGTGAGTCACGCTGCCAACTTAGCTTGAACTGTGTGTGTACTTATTGTATATGTTATAGAGAATATCAAGAACTGTACACAAGTTGCAAATTAAGTCAAATAAAACGTGGCCCCAAGATAAATAGATCTTGTATTATTAACGAAGCTATAGTATGATTTCAATATTCTGAATAGGCCTAGAAAAAAAAAAATACATATCCATAGATATAAGGCGACATGTTGGTGTCACATTAATCCCCTAGTGACCAGTGAAGTACATAGTACGTCACTGGCAGCGGACCCGTTTAAACAGACGCCGGGACTCTGTTTATAATTGTAAAGCCGACTATCGGCTTTACAATAGAGGCGATTCTGGCAGCTCAGCTGCCGCCCGATCGCTTCTACGGGCCGGCAAAGTGCTCGCCCGCCACCCCTGCCGTGTTTCCCAGGCTCTGCTGCCACTCCTACGAGCCCGAGACTGGCATCTCAGGTGTCTGCGGGAAGCTGGGGAGGAGAGCGATGAACGTCTGTTCACCGCTCTCCTCCCCGTTCTATGGGATATTGCATCACTTCTGGTCCCTGAGCTGTCACTGCTCGGCTCCTGAAACCCAGCAATAAGCTATGGAAGTGCGATCTGCACTTTAATAGCTTATTTAGAGTGGAAAGGTGACACTAGGGGTCGTTTGGACCCCCAGTATCACCTTAAAGAGTACCTTTCACCACCAATATGCTATCACATGGGGGGATTTTAAGTCCCCCTATGTGATAGCAGTTAAAGTAAAAAAAAACAAAAAAAACCACAAGTTTTAAAAAGTAATATTAAAATAAATTTTAAAATAATGTGATTTTCTTTTAAAAGTCCCACGCGAGCATGGGCGTCTTCACGTAAACACACGTTGGGTGCGCCTACGTACGAAAACGACGAAGTCGCTACACATGTTGGTATCGCTGCACACACCAGAGTGAGAGCAATAATATTAGGAACAATATTTATGTGCATCTCTAAAATTGATGACCTGTAGGGGCTCTTAAGGTGTCGTCGATTGACTTTTTGGGGTAAAAAAAAGAGACTTTTTGTCTCTGTTTTACACACGCACACAATTTTTAACCTGGGTATCGATTTACCTCATCTTTTATATTCAACAAAAAAAAATGGGTATTATATTGTGTTTTGGGGCACTAAAAGGGCGCCAATATCATGCAACATAAAAATTTGCAACTGCCACCATTTTATTCTACAGGGTCTTGGCTTTCAAGAAATACAGGTGAAACTCGAATAATTAGAATATCGTGCAAAGTTCATTTATTTCACTAATGCAACTTAAAAGGTGAAACTAATATATGAGATAGACTCATTACATGCAAAGCAAGATAATTCAAGCCGTGATTTGTCATAATTGTGATGATTATGGCTTACAGCTCATGAAAACCCCAAGAACCCCAAATCCACAACCTCAAAAAAGTAGATTATTACATGCAATCAATAAAACAAGGATTGTACATAGAACAATATCGGACCTCTGAAAAGTACAAGCATGCATATGTACTCAGTACTTGGTTTGGGCCCCTTTTGCAGCACTTACTGCAATTACTTTTGCACAATATTCTAATTATTCGAGTTTCACCTGTATATGTTTGGAAGTTTCAACTAATTTTCAGGCCTAAAATGTGAAAGAAGAAAAAAAAAAAAGGCCTTGGCAGCGAAAGGGTTCTTAAGGGGTTAAATAATCATAAATATGATCAACAGAAATGATACTAGTCTTTTTTTTCTCTTCACTGTTTCATGAATGTGTACTGGAATGTAAAAAATGTGATACAATACAACTTCACATTCCATTAAATGTATTGGAATAGTTTAGGTGCTAGAACTCTGAAACGATGAATGTGACCACTGTTGGAAACAGAGGAGTTCCATTAACTTTTAACAGCAGTTGTATTTTTACACGCAGATTCACTGTCTTCTTTGTTCTCTTCCTCAGGGAACTCATCATCTGAAGCCTCCAAGTCTATATCAAAGTCCAAGTCATCATCCCCCTTGATTTCTTGGTCTGCTTTTTTGCTAGCCGTTGAAGTGTCTTTTTGTGGTTCGCCGACGATTCTACAAGCAAATAAAAAAAATGATCATACATGATTTAGGATGCCACATATCAATATTACAACACATTGAACAAACAGGGAGCTTTAGAGCAGAATGGAAGCTCAAACCCAGAAAACTTTATTCTGCACATCACAAGCCTAGGAAGGGAAGTTGAGAGTTGTCCTGCCTTCTCCTGCACCTCCCAATTCGCTACTACACCGTTTCCCCCGAAAATAAGACCTATCCCGGAAAAAAGACCTAGTACTATTTTTGGGAATTGCTAAAATATAAGACCTAGTTGTGACCATTTCCAGGGCCAGTGGTGGCATAAGGGTGAACTTGAAGAGCCGCGGGAGAGGCAGGAGAGAATCAGCGGTACCAGCTAAGCCAGCGCTAGAGGAAGCGAGGCGGCACCGGAGGGAGCAGAGCCGCATAAGCCGATGCCTCCTCTATAGCGCCAGCTCCTGTTACAGGCGGAGTGATACCAAATGCACTCCGCCTGTTAGGAATCGATAGTGAAAGCGCGCTTTGCTCATTCTGGCCAGCGATTAGTGGTTAGCAAATTGTTCTTAGAAAGGTACGGCACCCCTGATTGCCCTGATCACCATATTTTTGTACATGAATACATGTAGACCTTTCTACATGAATAAGTGTGGATTGTTGTACATTAAAAAAAAAAAAGACCTACCCCGAAAATAAGACCTAATGTGTTTTTTTGAGCCAAAAAAAATATAAAAGACAGTGTCTTATTTTCGGGGAAACATGGTAAATGTGATGGACTGCCTCATCATCAAGCTGCAAGAGACAGGAGGGGGCGGCCAGTGTGCAGTTGCAGGTTAGAAGATACATTTTAAGTCAGCAGCAGAATTGTTGTTGAACTTGAACCCGTGCAATGTTTCCTTCCCTGCACCAATGCTAAAACAGGTATTTCTGGTCTTTGCAATGCTGAAACAAAGACCAGAGTTCTTAAAAGATGAATTCTTGCCAAAACTAGAACTCATCAGCATTTTATTTCAGCGCCCTCACTTAGGAGTTTCTCCTCTGTTCTTGTTCTACTGACCAGGAGTAGAGTGAAACAGCAATAAATCCTACATTTCTATATAATATCTTGTTATTATTAACTCATATCACAACTATTACCGGGTACTGTATTTGGAACATTACTTCAACATCTCTACTTGTCAAAGTAACCCATAAACAGTAAACACTCAGTTACAAGGTATTCAACTAACTAGGAAAAAATTCTAATTCTATTTTTCTTAAAGTGACATTAAACCCTCAGATTTTTTAACATAAAGTGTAATGTGCGCCTTACTGTAATCCATGGTTGTTTCCCTTCCCTTTGCTGCTCTTCCTTTTAAATCTCTATCTGTTCTCATGCTGGGCAGAACTTCTGTTTTGCAGCAGACTGCCTTGTCTCTGGAATGGATACATGGTGTCTGTGTGTACGTTTGCAACCTGAGCCAGCACTACAGGAAGAGGCACTCAGCTGCAAAGGGAAGTTCTCCCCAAGCATGAGAAGACATGAGGATTTAAAAGGACAGCAAAGAGAAGGGAAACAACCATGGATTACAGTAAGGCACACATTACAGTATTGGTTTATGTTAAAAAATCTGAGGGTTTAATGTCACTTTAAGTGTGTATATTTGTCTTAATTTGCTTTTATTTACATTTCAATATTAATATGAAGTCAATACAGAGTTTATGATATGGTAGAGTATGGGGTATGGCATTAGTTAGACCTATTTTTAATAGTAACCATAAAGCAACCATAAACTACATAAAAAGGTAAAAATGATTCCCACCGATATATATTACTGCATATGCAACCTGACTTCATTACTGTAATAAATACCAAGGGTTACGTTGGGCTTTACAAATACGGCAGAATAAGAATATACACAAGATGCTGGCTTTGCCCAGGACACAACTATAGAATACAACCTGCCATTTGAATCTGCCATTGTCTTCTTCAGTGTCATATCTGTACAGCCAGATCGGCATTACTGCCAGCAAGACGATCATTTTAAAAGTATACAGTCGTAAACAAAAGGACAGGCTATGTTGTTCCGCTCAGAACAGTGAGTAAATGCAATAAGCACGACTTTTTCATCATCTATTGCTATTTCATATTAGTATATTTATTTTAATGAACTATACACGTTCTGTAAAATCTATTACTAAACATGTGTAGCCCCATCTTCCTACGTACCGAGTAACAGAAAAAGTAGGCAGGTTTGATATAGAAATGCAGACAGAGAAATCTCTCCAGACGGAAAAATGACTTCAGGGTAAATGTCACAGTAACAAGCCAGGTTTTCAATGAACGCCTTACCTACTGGGTTTTTGAACAAAAAAGCTTTCTTAGCAGACGCAGATCAACTTATGACAGTACTGTTTGAGCCTCCTGAGTCTCATTAGCATGGGCTTAGTCGTTTTGCTACAAAGTGAACAGATTTCATTGAAGTTCCAAGTAAACGAAGGAGACTTCAAGCAAAGCAAATCGGTGGCAGGACTTTTACAAAACTGCAAGGAATTTAAGCAACAGCATGATTTATTAATGCTTTTGTACACGTGCCACCTATACACTTAAAGTAATTAAACCCTCATTTTTTTTTCTTCATATATCTACCGCTAGCAAGCAATAGACCTATGCAAAAACATTAAAAAATAAAAAAAAGTTAGCAAAAAGGTAAATAAATACTTACCTTTGTCACTGCTGCTCACTTCCGTCTGAAGATCTGGACCTTTTCGAGTGGCCGAGCAGCATGCATAGTAGAGATCTTCGGCAGGGAGAGGAGGAGAGACACAGTGGAGGTGAATGCACGCAGCTGTGAGCATGCAGGTCAGACAGACACCGTGGGACACGAGGAGTCTACGCTGTATCAGAGACAGGCACCAGCGCTGGAGGGGCTTCTCAATACAAGTGGAACGAAGATGATGATCGGATCAAGAGACATCATTTAAGGTAAGTCCTTACAGCAGCAT